GGGGGGGAGGGCGGGGGGGAGCAATTTATTGTCTGCAACATACAATGCTGTTTGAACACCTCTCTCTGGGCAGGTTATTAACACCTCCTAGCTCCAATTATGCAAATGCAATCAACACCTGGTTGTAACTAACCATTTATTTGTAATTATATCAAGCAGTCATTGTGATTGAATCTCACTAAGACTGCTTCATAATTTAATAATAAATCTTTGGTTATTATTTGGCTGCTCCAAACTTAGGAACAGCCAATAATAACCTTAGTGACACTGAACTTGCAGTGCCGATCCTGTAGCATTTTAGGATCAGTGTCACTAAGGCTTCTGATCGTCCCTCGTTCCCAGAATGATCAGAAGTCTGCAACATTGTTTCAGAATAGGAACATGTAGCTAAATGTTTCTATTCTGAAACAGTTAGCAAAAAGCAGATACACATCGGCATCGCCTAATCCTGATCTTAAGTAAGAAGAAGAAGAAAAAAAACCATAGCGCAAGCTTCGGCGCATTTTGACAAGTACTTGTCAAAATGCCCTGTATCGGGCCCGATTCCGATGCTAGCATCGGTATCGGGACATTCCTAGTACCAGCTGTCAAACAGTGACAGCAAGTGGGGTAAATACTTCTCTGTTATCCCTGTCAGACACCCGATGCCTGAAAGGATAGATACTGAGTTATCCATGAATGACCAGTAACCGCTGATTCTCAGAGGCATTACAGATCCCCACATATCTGATGCCGTACAGTGTACGCAAGCAGTCATTTGGGGACTTAGTAGCGGGGATGTACAGTATACGTCTCCCATCACTAAGGGGTTGAAGGAGAATTATGAGGCGAGTGATTTTTACTCAGCCTCATAATATGAGCCGACCTGTGACAATGACACTGTCACAGGTCGGCTCAGTAGATCGGGTAGTGAGTGAACACATACTGTCGCTCGCTCACTTCTCGATCTATCCCTGCAGAGAGCCACGACTGTCACTCACGGCTCCCTGCAGGGATTCCCTCACCCCCCCTCCCCGATCCTCCAGTGCTGACTGGTGAAACGGACAGGGGAGAGGGCGGGCACAGCTGGCTCTGCCTCTAGATAGGCAGAGCCAGCTGTCAATCGCGCAGCTGGGTGGATCCAGACAGTATTGCCGGGATCTGTCCCGGCTGCGGCGTCTCAGTATACCGCGAGTTGTAGCTCGCGGTATACTGAGCTTTGGGTGACGGGAGGACGCTAGTTTGTGTTCTCCCGTGACCCTGAGGAGAACTATGGGGAAAAGCCCTGACCCCCTTAGTTCTCCTTTAGAGATTTTGGTTTGTTTTTAATGGAATTTTACAGATTATTTACATTAACGGTGGAAAAAAATCTGAAGTGACTTCTCTAGGTCGTATTTGTTTTAACAGGGGTGTGTAGACTTTTTATATCCACTGCATATACAAAGTTGAAATACATAAATATTTGCTGATTTACTTGCTCAAGTGTTTATAATTCTGGTCAGTCATTCTTACGATTTATAGTTCTCAGACAGACAGGTGACGCACTTATTTGCTGGATCAGCTTTGTCACTTTCCCACCTTTAGTCTCATCATTGAGCAATGAACTGACATCATTAACTCAGTCCAATGAGCAGTAAAGCTGACCCAGGAAACAGTAAGGGCAAACCAGAAAGTAACAGATTAGTGGATGTGCGTGTATCACAAGAATGGCTGCACAAATGACAAGTATTTCAACTGTGTACTAAACGGTTTTCACCGCCCCCCTCCACAGATGCATACCTGCAATTGATCAGCCAGCCGCGGCCTCCGGTGATCTATACATCCATTGCCGCAAGTCTCACTGTCCTGGCCACACTTCTATGGGGCTGTGTTTCGAGGAGAGAGACGAAGGGAGATGGCCCCATAGGGATCTATGGGGATGTAATGTACAAGCATGGCCAGGATGTAAACACTGGCACACAAGCCAGATGAAGGCATCGAGTATGCATCTGTGAAGAGGGGGTTATGCAAGTGCACAATAAGTAAACTGATCCTTTAACACTAACCAGTATTTGGGTCTAAATCACAAGGGACTGAACTGTCACTTCTTTCCATGGAGGAAACAGCTAATGTGCAGATCATCAAGGTGGCTGGCCAATACTACAACAGGGAACATGTATTTCAACTGCCTATGGATCTGTATGCCTGGTTACATGCGAGTCACATTCATGTAGTAAACTGTACCAGGGTACATAGACACTATGGCTCCTTTGGGCACAAACCCTCTGCAAACGAAAACTCCAATCCCGGCAGAGTCCAGAGAGCTTGGCTGTCTTTCAATGGTGAACCCGAAAGATCTGTGCATTATCTCAGCTGCTTGTAGAGTGACGTCCTGTTCAGTGTGGCAGCTCGGTGCTTCTCCAATGTCTGGATTATAATACAAGGCCTTCGTGCATTCAGGAAGCATGTGCAGGAGGTCTCTCTGTCTGTACAAATCAGACATGAAGAAAGCTTGAAAGAGGCCAACAAGAGCGCTCTTCACATCGGCATCAGGAATAAGCTTGTCGCTGCTGCCCTCCGACACATAGCGCAAGGTTCTGTGCAGAGAAAGGAAACAAAAAGGATCATTCATCAAAAGTGGAAAGCTGGATATACACAGATTGCTTTTCCTTCAGCCTGCGGTCTCAATGAAAATAATCTAACAGATTCATCCATGTTAACCACTTGATGACCGCAGTGTTAAACCCCCTTCCTGTCCAGGCCATTTTTCAGTATTCAGCGCTGCGGTACTGACATTTATTGCGTCATGCAACGCTGTACTGAAATACATTTTATACCATTTATTGGGGACAGATGGAGCTTTCTTTTGGTGGTATTTAATCACCACTGGGGGGGTATTTTGTGTTTTGGGGCTTTTAATTAAATTTTTCACTAAATGTTGGGGTTTAATAAGGAGTTGCGCAACATAAAAATGTGCAACTACCACCATTATATTCTATAGGGTCTTGGCATTCAGAAAATATATTTTGGGGGTTTTAAGTCATTTTCAGGCCTAAAATGTGGAATATAACATGGGTGCAAAAAAAATGAAAAAAAGGCCTCAGTCATGAAGGGGTTAACAGAGGATAGCACTATAAGTTTTTTTAGAGCATCTGAAAAGTGGTGTCAGAGTCTCTAAAGGAAACCTGTCAAGAAAGAAACATGGAGGCTTCCATTGTTCAAGTAACCTGGCCACCACGGGGTTAAATACAAAAATAGAAGAGCCCTGTGAAAGCCTTGTGTTTAGTGTCAGGAAGCGCCACGGATTCCCCCCCAAGTGCTGCATGTATTCCACACTACCCCAACATGGAGTCGGTTCTCCTTCTAGCTCATGTCAATACAGGGCTAGCTGGCAGGAGGAACCATTGTGTGTGGCCGAAGGGAGCCGCATTCTGACCCATCAGGCAGATCAAATACCCAAATACCCGCACTGGCAGGTCAGAGGTCTAGTGGTGGTGTTTCAAGACACAGGTCCCCCCATAGGGAAGTCTACTCCATCTTTTAGGGCTCGTTCAATTGGGGCAGCGACACTTCACATGTGCGCTATGGCAGCATACAAACTGAGCGATTAGCTGCATCTTGTTTGTGAGCGCCCAGAACCACCAGACCCGGATGCAAAGTGTCTACGGTCAGTCCAAAGCCCTACAGGCCTCAGGCACATGGAGCCACGGAACAGAAATTGGGGGCATATTTCTGTGGCTGCAACAACCAGCTGCAGCCCACAGTGAATGCTTGTAGGCTGGTTTACATTGCTACTTGTGTAAACCTGTGTATACACACAGCCCTGGATGCAGCTAGCCTGGGACCAGGGTAATTTTATTGTTTATCCGATTAATCGAACTTAATAATCGGCTAACTAATCGATTTTGAAAATAATCGTTAGCTGCAGCTCTAGTATACAGCTGTGGTGGTATAAACCAATCTACAGTCACCTACAACCAGTCAGTACTATGGCCCACTGTACACTGCAGCTGGTTATCCAAAGTGTGGAAACATGCCCACAATATGCATTCCACATGGGCCCAACATTGCCAACACCAGCCATTGATTTGTAGTGGGTACAAAGCTGGTGGCTGTTTGCACATGTGTGTGCATAGAGCTAGACTGTCTGTGGACACCTGAGTGATCTCTTACAGGGCCTGTCACTGTAAACACTTCATCTAAAAATCAGGGCCGTCCCTATAATGAGGTAGCCCGAGGCTGTTACCTCAGAAGGCATCTCTTTGGGTCACATTAGGGAGCAGCAGGCAGAGCGGCATGACTACTCTACTTCAACATTTGCCATACGCATCTCCCCTTCCAGCTCTTAGCAACCTGGGATACTCTAATGATCGCGACCCCCCCTGTTCACTTGAGGGACCCCATATGGGGTCACGACCCACACTTTAAGAAGCACTGCTCTAAACGGCATCCCTGGCTGTAGTCCCGCCCAGCAAACCATGCTGTCACTGGTTGCCAGGACTCCAGCCAGAGCATCCCAGATTGCTAAGAGCCTGCAGAGGGCAGCATCATTCCACACCCCATCCCCCACTGGCTGTGAAGATGACTCTCTGGCTTAGACCCGGATGTGGTATACAGACAGGAATTTGATACTTTTTCTGCAGCTTTGCCATCCCACATTCCTCATCCAGGGTAATGACTGGAAGTCCTGAAGCCAGAGGATCAGTATAACAGCCAGTGCTACCTATACTTCTCCTATGACAGGCACACATTAGGAAGTACCCTCCCTTCATACTGGAGTCACACACAGCAAGGGGTGTCCGCTATTCCCAGAGAGTGCTGTGTACTGGCTGCACACATGTAGGATAGGAGCACACCGTCTCCCAGCCGTCAGATGACAACACGGACTTATCAGCACACCTGCGGTTCCGGGCCAGGTTCAGCGCCACCCAGGGCACAAAGCGGTGTCTGTATGACTTCCAGCGGGTGAGCAGAGCCCTGACAACCGAGCCCGGGAAGGACATGACCACCGGGGCACCCGTGCCTCAGACAGGAACAACGTCACGTGACCGACCTCATGACTGAGAAAGGGGCGGGGACGCGGCTCTGAGTGGAGAAAGGCTGTCTCCCTGCTGCTGCTCCTCCCACCGCCTTCTGGCCAATCAGAAATGTTCTTTTCTGTGTGTAGCTGGTCACATGAACAGCTCGTGCCCGTTCCTTTCCTCAGGCACTCTCTAGGTGGCTGAGGTTGCTGATGTTGGGGACAAAATATCACAGACTTTGTGGGGACATTTTACTGTACAATATGTCAAATACAAGCAACCCCTGTTAAAGCTGCAGTACTGTCTTCATGCTGCTACAACTACATTTCCATATTTAAGCAGAACCAGACCCACCATGTTTATGGTTTCAGAGCTGTAGATAGCTCCTTTTATACCACAGGCAAGAACAGAAAAATGTACCCCCCCAACAGACGTGTGATGTCACCCAACGCCGCATAGGCGTGGCATCACGTGATGTCATGCGCCCCGCCTCCAGGTGCCGGAGAGCGATGCGGATCGGAGAAGAAGCTGGAGCGTGTGCAGCTCCTCTTCTCCCTGCCAAACCGCGGCTGTGTTGGCCCCTTGGCGCCCCTGTTGCTGGGGGGGGGGGGGGGCCCAGCCAGGGCCGCCATCAGGGGGCTACGGCCGATACTGATGTAAGGGGCCCACCTTGCATGGGTATTGGCCGTACAAGTGACAAGCCAGGAGGTGGAGGCGGCCGGGCACCCGCAGATTATCACCTGAGATGATCCATGCGGGCCTCCGGTGTGCCCAGGGGGTCTCCACTGTACATAACATTTTTAAACATGGCCACCGCAAGTAGTGGCGGCCATCTTTAAACCTGGCAAGCGCCCATATCTCATTTAAAATATTGCCGGACAGGCTTCATGTAAATGTACGTCCTCCGCTGGAAGTGGTTATACCAAGAACACGGCTGCTCCTGAAGCCATGTTCTTGGTATCGTGTTAAACAGCAGACGATTGCTGTTTAAATACAAGCGATCCGGTGTCTGTACAGGTGCTGGATCTCTTGTACGGTGCGGAGTTGTGTCTCAATCCTCCACGGCCGCCGGTGCCACCGTCAGCTTCCTGGGCTCATCTGTCCCTCGTAGGGCAAACAAAAATCTTGCACCAGGGCCCATTGTTCCTTAGGTCCACCACTGGTTGGCTGCCTGGTGCCCCTGTTGTAATGGCAACGGGGCGCAGCCAGGCCGGCCCTTGCTGCATCGCCTCTCAATTGTGCATGAGGTGAGTGCCTCACTCGCCCCATGGTAGCTACAGCCCTGATTGGTTTCCTAAAACATTTTCAAGGCTGCCATTGTCAAGGATGCCAGTGTGCCTTTTTCAGCTCTCAACCAAACTTTCCAGCCCTCAAATGGCTGAGGTGTGTTCAGTTCCTTGGCCAAGTGCTGAGTCGCTGTTCTGCAGCACTTTAGTTCACTGCAGCAGCTTCACTGAATGCTTCAGCTGCACCGGGCTAAGCAAAATGGGGGAGGATATTATTTTTGACATACTATTTTCCAAAAAACATTCAGTGTGCTCATCCACCAAAACATTAAATTGTAGGTTCCCACGCTGAATCGATTTCCTCCATTGGAGTTCAGGCACTGCCAGGTTCGCCCACAGTTAAAATGGCCGCTGGTGCTCTGTCGCCACCTTCTGTATCACACTCAGCGCTCTGCATCCACATTCCCGTTAGTGGGGCTGAGCGCTGACTTGCAGCACAGCGTTCAGTGGTAGTTTGCTAACTCAGGACTCGCAGTGGCTGAGCAACTGAACACGCCTCTGGTGTCATAGCTGATCACATGTGCAGCACCATGGCAACTGCAATCCAAATAAAGGCTAAGATGGCACCCTCCTTGGGTGTGAAGGATTGGACGGTGTAGTTTTACCTTAAAGCAGTTTCTCCATGCCAAACAGAAGGTCCACATTTTTGCAAGCACCCTGCTCCCCAGCAAAAATGCACAGCAGATCTCTGAGGGAAAAAACCTTAGCCCTGGCCTGCAATGCTTTAGGGAGGTACAGGCAGGGATCTCAAGTCTCCCTGATGTTCAGGGAGTCTCCCTCTATTAGATAGCGGCTCCCTGACGTCCGCGAGAGAGGCATTTTCTCCCTGAAAGGTTTACTCTGAGTAAACCTTTCCGGTAAGATATCAGTGGGTAAAGTTTCAGAGTGAGGCTTGCCTCCTGGAGGAAGGTCATGTGATCTCTAGAGTAGCCTCAGAACGAGGCTTGACTCTCAGAAGGACAAAACACTCAGATGTGAACAGGGCCATAGAAATTAATGGGATTTTTTGTGTGTTTTTTAGGGCAGAAAAAGCGATACAAAACGCTCAGTGTGAACCAGGCATTACATACTACCATTTGTTTTCTGGCCTGTTGTGGTGTATTGCCAGCTCATTCAAATGAATGGGCTGCCCTAATGCAACGCACATTCATGCACCACAACTGATCAGAATGTGTGGAGTTTTTTTGGGTGGTACGGCCATAACCCTAATTTTTTCAATGGACACCTAACAATGTTTTCTGCAGTGTTATGCTGAGGAAACATCTATGAACACCACAGGCTCCACGCTGCTCTCTGTATTTTACGAATGACGAGGTGTAGAGAGAACACTGCGGTGTCCTGCAGATAGCGGTATTCACTCTCTATTTTGGATAACCTCCCAGAAGGGACTGTAACTGATAATTGAATCAGGAAAATAGCCTGATTGTCTTATATTTGGGTCTATCGTAATCAAAAACAGACACGAGGGACCTCAATTCTCTAACATTCAAAATACATTATATTGCCAAAAGTATTGGGACACCCCTCCATATCATTGCATTCAGATGTTTTGTGACATTTCCTTGCTACTAAATATTCTGCGATCATCTCTTAGTGGTATTATAAGAAAGTGGAAGCAACTGGGAACAACAGCAACTCAGCCACGAAGTGGTAGGCCACGTAAAATGACAGAGCGGGGTCAGCGCATGTTGAAGCGCACAGTGCACAGAAGTCGCCAACTGTCTGCAGAGTCAATAGCTACAGACCTCCAAACTTCGTGTGGCCTTCAGATTGGCACAACAACAGTGTGTAGAGAGCTTCATGGAATGGGTCTCCATGGCCGAGCAGCTGCATCCAAGCCTTACATCACCAAGTGCAATGCAAAGCGTGGGATGCAGTGGTGTAAAGCACGGCGCCACTGGACTCTAGAGAAGTGGAGACGTGTTCTCTGGAGTGACGAATCATGCTTCTCTGTCTGGCAATCCAATGGACGCGTCTGGGTTTGGCGGTTGCCAGGAGACCGGTACTTACCTGAGTGCATTGTGCCAAGTGTAAAGTTTGGTGGAGGGGGGATTATGGTGTGGGGTTGCCTTTGAAGGGTTGGGCTTGCCCCCTTAGTTCCAGTGAAGGGAACTCTTAAGGCATCAGCAAGCCATGGCCTTCTCGTCCAACATCAGTACCTGACCTCACAAATGCGCTTCTGGAAGAATGGTCAAACATTCTCATAGACACACTCCTAAACCTTGTGGACGCCTTCCCAGAAGGGTTGAAGCTGTTATAGCTGCAAAGGGCGGAGCCAACTCAATATTGAACCCTACGGACTAAGATTGGGATGCCATTAAAGTTCATGTGCGTGTAAAGGCGTCCCAATACTTTTGGCAATATAGTGCATCTTCACTTTAGGTCTTCCTTTGTACCAGAAAACATTTTATTTCCAGAGCAATGTGACATAATTTGCACTCCATAGAAGACCACACTTTGGGTTGCTTCCTACCAATTGTCTAATTGCTGGTTAAATGTACTAATGTACAGGGCATCACTCAATATATTCCCGTAGTACACCTTCCAACGCCTAAAGTAAGATGGTGTGGTAGCAACTACCAGCATGATGGCCATCAGGACATAGAGAAGAAAATACACCGATCAGCCACACCATTATCCTCTCAGTGTTTATGTCATGGCTGATCGGTATATAGGTCACCAGCACACTGTGAATCCGTCATCAATAGTCCAAACGTTTATTGAAGCGATCACATCACAAACAGCGTCAGTACATTTCAAGGCTACATGCCTGACAAAAAGGGCCTGCGTGGCCTTGAATCATTGTACTGCCACTGTTTGTGATGTGATTGCTCCATTAAACTTTCGTATAATTCCCAGCTGTCCTTTATAATGATCACACACATGCAGGTGTGAACCAGGGCTAAAGCTGCCCATACACCAGTAGAAATGGGTTAAAAAAAGATTTGTCTGCATGCTAGATTCCTAATAAAGCCCCATTCACACTTGTGCGATTTGTTCTGCATCTGTCGTGACAATGGAAATCACATTATTGTTAATGGTGCCTGTTCACATCAATGCAACATGGTGCAGTGTGATTTTATTTTTGCAAGCGCTTCTTTTGGCGCTAAATTGATTTTTTTTTTCTTAAGCGTTTGCGTGCTTACAGCTCTGGTCTGATCTATGCGATGGGGGAAGTGTGTGGTGATGCATGCAATCCTGCATTGCAGTGCCAATATTTATTTGTATTGCACCACATCGCATGGTAATCAATTACTATGTAATGTGCTGCAATGCCATTTAATAATAATTAAAAAAAAGTGCATGCACTTCTTCCAGTGTGTTTTAGCTGTGGTAGGCAGTCCATTTAAATGAATGGGCTTCTACTGCAACAACTCTGCAACATCCCATTGCAGAGGTGTGAATGAGGGCTTCTGTCTACTCAAAGAAAAAAAAGCTGCCAACGAATGATGTCACAGCAGATATTGTTTGTCAGGGGCCAAAAGAAAACCGCATGGAGCATGAAAACGCATTGCTTGGCTTTTAGTAGTACCAAAAACTTTCTGTATCTAGTGAGCTACTATGCATTTCTTGGTCATTTCCACCCAACTTTGGAGGTAACCCATTGATAACAATTCACTTGTTTTATAATCCCATGTAGCGGACTCAGCAGAATGACCTTTTTAATTGTTCCCACAAGTGTTGAAACAAAGCTTTTATATCTGG